CCGCCTCTCCCCTCCTCCATCATTCCCTGCAGGCCTCCTTCCCTAGGTCCAAGTACCCCAGACTCACAGTCCTCTAGGTCGAGCAGGGAGAGCTCCTTGGCTGCAGGGGCACTTTTGCTGCTTGGAGGCTGTAAGAGAACAGTGGGATGGGTGTGGGGAAGGGCAGCCACCTGGTCTGTTCTGAGCTGAGTAGAAAATACAGTCGTGGTCTGGGTAGGGATGATGGTGGTAGATGCCCACATCTACCCAGGAGGTGGAGAGGGCCCTGGCCCACGGCCCCACCCCATCTCAACCCCAAGGCTCTCACGGTTTTTCTCCTCCAAGGGGCGGGTTCCACTTGCTCCGACTCCGACTCTGATGTCGCTTCCGACTCGGAAGAGTTGCTGCTGGAGTTGCTGCCCTCATCTGAGGACGAGCCTTCTCTGTGTCCCTCCGGCACCTTCTTCTTCTTCGTCTTCTTCCTCTGACCATGCTCACTCAGCTCACTAGAGAAGGGGAGGCAAGTGGGGCTCAAGCCCAGCCTAGACCCCCTTCCCTCATACCCCTATTCTGTCTCCCAGAAGAGAAGGAGGAGCCCTGGAGAGTGGGGTGGGAGCTTGGACTGCAGAGCCCATAGCTGGACCCCAGTGATAACTCTTAACAAGACCCTGCCCTGCCCAGACCTCATTTCCCTCCCTGCTTCACTGGGGCCTGGCAGGCCTGGCATCAGAGCCCTCCTGCAGCCAGCCAATGCAGCCACCAGGGAGCTGACCAGTGGGTCTGCAAGGACCCCACCGGCTCATAACAAGGCTCAGGGGTCTTGGGAGATTAGCTAAGGCTGGGTATCAACTCATCTTTTCCAGAGGAGACCAACGATCCCCATCAGTCATCGGGCCGGCTCCCGTCTTACCTGTCACTGCTCCTCCCTTTGTCCTCATCCTCATCTTCATCGTCGGACTCACTGCTGGCCTCCCCAGAGCTGCTCTCGCTGCTGCTCTTACTGTCCGACTCACTTTCAGATGCAGGGTCTGTGGAGGAAGTGGCTCAGGCCTCCCTACCATGCCTGCAAGCTTCCTCTGATCCTGAGCAGGTACCCTGGGTCCCCAGCTTCCGACTCAGCACTAAAGCCTCAAACTCCCTGACCTGTCCCTGCCCCTAGATGTCACCTGGGACCCAGAGGAAGCAGACAGACATATATGGATAAGGACAAGCACACCAGCTTCAGACATGCATTTTCCTTAGAAGCAAGAGTGTTCACACACAGACATGTTTGTTCCTGGGTGGTTACACAGCCCATTGATACAACCACGTAAACACAAAGGGACACACACACAGAAACACACACGTAGCAGAAGCTCTAGCGCTGCCAGCCCCTCACCACTGTCTGCTGACTCTGTGGGCCCAGACTCCCCCTCCGAATCTGAGTAGAAAGGCTTCTCCTTCTCCTTCCTCTTCTCTCGATTTGAGCACTTGGTCCACTCAGGAACCTGAAGGTGGTGGGTAGAGTGAAGGCGTCATTTCAACATGACCTGAGAGGGGGATGGGAAGCACAAGGTCTTCTTCCCCTTCCCCCACCTAGCCCTGTCTGCAAAAGGGAATGATGGGGGAGGAGGAAAGAGGCTCCCTCCATGGAGGGAGAGATGCACGGCCAAACCAAGTTTCTCTCAAACCAAGGCGGAAACAGCCCAAGGGAGGCCCGGTGCAGCCCACGAGGGGGAAAGGACAAGAGCAAGCACTGCACTCAGGCAGGGCACACAGCACACGGAGGGGGGACCTCAGTGTATTCGCCCAACAGGCCCACGTGGGTCTCAATAAGAGAGAGGTCTTCTTCCTGTGTGGGGGGAGGGCACCAGGGGGGCTGTGGGATGTGAGGAGGGCTCCTTGTTCCTGCACACCCCCACTCCGTGGACACGCAGCCCGACCCTCACCCCTGCTGACCTCCACGTTGCGCACAGATGGGTCTGGGGCTTCCTCTGGCCAGTCTGGGAGTTCCTGGTAACCCGTGGCCTTGGCATTGAGCAGGTGGGACAGGGAGCCCAGCTGGAAGTGATCCCGATCTGGGGACAGGGTTAGAGGTGAGGCCCGCAATGCCCTGGGAGTTGTTTCCTAGTTGGGGTCAGCGGGCAATTCTGGGTAAGAAAATGGGATGAATGTGCCCCCAGTGGCTCTTCCACCCTGACTGTACTTTCAAGAAAGGGCTGTCGGAATGACCCTAGCCAGGGCTGAGGAGCAGATCAGCAGGGGTGGGGGTAGGGGCACTGGCGAGGAGGGCAAGAGGAGACTGCAGGCCCATTTACTCAGGTCTCCAGGCTGGGGAAGCAGACTGAGCGTGGTCTTCTCTCACTGGCCAGTGGGGGCTGTGTGCTGCCCCATAGCCAGGCCCAAGGAGGAGGCCTGGAAGTGGAGACGAGAAATGGCAGCTCAGAAATGAGCCAGCTAACACGACTCCCTATTCGTGAGCTCCAGGGAAGAAGACGAAGGAAAAGGAGAGCAGAAAGATGCCCAGAGAAACCAAGCAGTGTGCAGGTGACCCCTGTGCCGTGCAGCTTCTCGGTTTCAGGTTTTGGAGTCCAGAGAACAGGCAGGCAGACCCTTGCCACAGGTGAGGGGGGCTGAAGGGCTAAACTGGGGAATCGGGGCAGGGTTGGGGGCTGGCCCAGGGCTGGGGTTAACCAGGGCCCTGACCCATTCTCAAGACTTTTATGAATACATTCCTTGCCTCTGTATTTTGTCTCACTTCCTGCCTTCCTAGGTCCTGGGAATTTAAAATCTTGATACCTGTGGTTAGGCCTAATGTCTGACTGGAGTCTCTGGGTGGCACGATTAATGTGCTCCCTGCCTACTGGCAGGTTGGAGGTCAAGTCCACCCAGAAGTGCCACAAAGAGGGGCCTGGTGATCTAACTGCTCTGTACATGTGAGGTCTTTAGGAGCCAAGATGGGCTGGATGGCAACAGGTACTCGCTAGCTCCTGGTCAGGGAGGGGATCAACGAGGGAGAGGCGAGAGGAGCTGGGAGCGCATCTGCCCGGGAGGCAGAGGCATGTGAGTAGGTAAAAACTGGGCCCTGATTACTACCAGAGGGGCCAGAGAGAAGGACAGGCATTTCCGGAAGTCTAAGGTCAGGGTCCTCACAGGGACATTACCCTTCACTTCAGTCCCCACCTTTGAAGGAAGATTCCAAGACAGGGGCTGGTTTGGGGGCCAGGAAGAGCTTCTTGGCATGACGGCTGAGGGCCCCACCCTGCTCCGAAGGGACAATAAGCTGCCTGGTGAAGCGGGCTCGGTCCCGGATATCGTAGTTCTGGTCATACTTGGCCAGGCTCAGGACGTACTGGGTCAGCAGTTTGGTCTGAGCGAGGCAAGAAGAGGTGAGTCAGCAGGGGAGTGGTAGGGGGGGTATGGGGACTCGGACCCAGATCCTTTAAGCCACCACCAAGCTGCATTTCATCCTTCCTTCCAGGTAACTGGCCGCCTCTGTGCAACTCTCCCAGACTCACCGCATGCTCGCTCTTCTCTGGCCCAGCCTCCTGACCCCAGCTTGGCCAAGTTCCTGAGGCCAGCAGAAGACGCTACCCTCTTGGCCTTGGACTCTGTTCTTTCTCAGGTCTGGATCCCCACTGCCCCAGGCCCTGCTCCTGCCCTCCCTTCCCAGGCTGGGCCAGCCCCTCCAGACTGGGTTGGCAGGGTGAAGGAAGGTCTGGAACATTTTGCTAGACCTCACAGGTTGCAGCCTCATCACACAGGGGGAAGTCAGACAGCAGTCCTTCCCTTGAGGGGAAGGGAAATAAGCAGGGATCCCTTAGCAGAGGCTGCCCGCAGACCCCACTGAACATGAAATAGATTCTGAGCAGCCCCAAGGTCTCAGAGTGCATCACCCTCCCTCTAGAGGGCTCTTCTGAGACCAGAGCCAACAGCAGATGCCCAGGGGTTGCCAAGGTCATGCAGGGTTCACAGCCCTGGCTCCTGGTAGCCGCATCCCAGACCCACGATCTCAATTTCTGCCTTTAGCCTAGGCTGGTCTAACCTGCCAATCCTTAAACCAAGTGACAGTGGTGGCAGTCATCATGTACTGAGCATTGGTTTACATGTGTCACGCCATCTCATTAAATGCCCACAGCCCTTCGGAGAGGTCACTCACTGCCACCGAGTCCATTTGACTCACAGGCCCCTACAGGATAGAACAGAACTAGCCCATGGGCTTTCCAGAGCTGTCATCTGCACCGAAAGGACCTGGTGGTAAGTTGGGCTGTTAACTGCAAGGGCAGCAGTTTGAAACCGCAAGTCGCTCGGTGGGAGAAAGGCAGAGCTGTCTCAGAAACTCCAGGGGCAATTCTCCCCTGTCTGATAGGGTCACTGTGAGTCAGAATAGACTCAAGGTTGCTGAGTGAGTTTTTAACAGAAGTAGACCTAGACCGCCACAACCTTCTCCCTCAGAGAGGCTGGTGGCTTCACGGAGCTGACCTTTCACCTGGCCGGAGCTGACCTTTCACCTGGCCGCTGAGCACTTAACCACTGTGCCAGCAGGGCCCTTCTGAGGTAGGTTTAACCACATCCATTGTCCATAGAAGCACCGCTGTCCTGAAGAGCCTGGTCCGGGCTCAGGAGCACCACGTGCTGAACCCTGGGATCTCCAGAGCAGGGTCCTGCCCCTCTCCCTCTCCTTACTCCCTACTTGCTCACATGGCAGGGCTGCCCCAGCCCAGGGTGAGGAGAAGACCTGTCACAATCTCAGTGTGCAGTCAGGCTACACACACCCCCGGCCACCTGCCCAGGTGCTTTGCTTCAGGATTTGGCCAACTTTTTCTGCAAAGGGCCAGAGAATAAGTACCTTTGGGCCTTGTGGGCCATGCAGACGGCCTCTCTTTAATTCTGCTCTTGTGTCACAGACAGTACCTAAATGAATGGGCATGGCTATGTGCCAATAAAACTATCGTTGCATCTTGATGTGAACTGTATGACATGTGAATCATATGCCAATAAAACCGTTGTGGGGGGGAAAAAAACACCAAAAGGCAAAGGGTACGCTCTGGCCCCTGGGCTGCGGTTTGCTGTCCCACCTTACATAGCTGAGTGGCATGGTGAGTGAGCGACTGGCAGGGTGGCAGTGTGCGCGACACTTTGAAAAGCTCTGCACATCACACTCGGTTTTCCTGGTTCTCTAGGGGGCAACTCAGGGCATCCCGGGCACCTGATAACCAGCTAAAGGAACCCTGGTGGCACAGTGGTTATGCACTGGTCTATTAACTGCAAGGTCCGCTCCCAGAGAGAAAGAGGCTTTCTACTCCCATGGGAGTTATTCTATCCTGTCCTGCAGGGTTGCCATGAGTCGGCATCATCTCAATGGCAGTGAGCTTGGGTTGTTTTCTTTTGTATACCAGCTAAAAGCCATCATTAGTCATCATTAGCTAGGTACCTCTCAAAACCGCACAACCTCACCTTGGAAATGACAATGGATGCCAGCACCACCCAAACCTGAGCAGAGACTCACCCTCTTATCACTGGCCAAACATTGCTACCAATGGGAAGGAAGCATGGGCCACACCTTCCTGGATTCCTACTCTCATCAATGCATTGCTGGCTCCGCCCAAAGGGGACAGAAAGGAACACTCCCACAGGAGAGACTGGAGCTCCACAGGAGAGCCTCTTCACCAGGGCCACCAGCCCTACCCAGCCCTTGGGTCCCCAAATAGCTGTGGATAATAGAGTATCACTGCAACCTGGAAGACCAGCCACCCGGCCCTGAAGACCCTCGAAGGCAGGCCTGCCTGGGCAGGTACACAGAATACTGCTGCGGCAGCATGTCTGGGGGGGTCAGGACACTTTGGGTGGTACCTCTCAATCTTTACCTGCTTAGAGTTGGTCAGATAGAGCTTGGCTGCCAAGTTTATGACCTGCAGCTTGACAATATCCTCCTCTGCTGTGAAGGACTTGGCCATTTTTCTCAGAACGTCGGGTGCAATCCTGGGAACATGCTCACAGTACTCACCAATGAGCCACAGGATGCTGGCTCGGGCCATGGGCACCTGTGGATGGAAGTGAGAGGAGAGAGGAGTGGGGGCAGTGCGGCAATGGAAGCGGGAACATGGACCACCGGGGAACTGGCCCTCCTGTCTGTGCTGGCCTATTGGATTGTGGGGTTCTCTAGAAACTGAGTGGGGGGCAGTGGGAGAGAAATGAAAAGGCTGGAATTTCCTGGACAGTACCTTGCCTCTTCCCTAGGGCTTCGTTAGCCAGAACAGAGCCTTCAAGCCCCAAAGTTGGCCATGGATTAAAAGATGAATTTTCTGGGGTCATTGCACCCTCACTACTTTGCTGTGATGGTGTTTTCCCTGAATCTTCGGGAGTGCCTGGTGTGAATTTGGTACTCAGTAGTACAGCAGAAAGCACAGGCTAGGCCAACAAGCCACCCTCAGCGAGAGCTTCTGCAAGAGTGAAAACAAGAGCGGTGGTAAAGGCTGTGGACCTGCTCAGGGAGGACTCCCCACGGGGAAAGCGAATCCTGGGCAACAAGGTCAAAGCCACACAGTCCCGGTCTTCCCCTTCCTTCTACCTGAGGACCTTTCAGGACCAATGTGGAAGGTCTGGAGGTGGGCATACTTAATTACAGAATGTTAAAGTGACAGGGTAAGGAGGTGAACACGGGGTGGCTCTCTCACCTGGATGTTGTCTGTGAGCTTTGCCAAGTGCTTGATGATCTCCCCGTGCTGTGCGGGCTGCATCTGCAGCAGCTTCTTAATGACGACCACTGACTCGGCAACCACTAGCTCTGTGGGATGGCAAGGAGTCTCTGGAGCCCCTTGGGCAACAGGTGGTCACACACAGGTAGAGAGATATACCCATGAAGCCCATAGCCCCACTTCTCAAGGCCCCTGTACCTCTCTAGTGGACCCTCAAAGCAATAGGAACAACTGGACACTAATCAAGACAGACACACACACACATTGTGCTTAGACAGATAGGTGGGCACTGGTCATCAAAGTCAGGTATTCAGGCAGACACCCAATTCCCATCAAGGCTGGACACTCGGACAGACTCAGACACTGACCATCGCGGTTGGACAGCAGCTGCACCAGTCCGTTGAGACAGGTGTCCCGGACACGGCCGATGTTCGTTGCACAGCGTCCAATAGCCTGGATCGTGGCCGCCACAAAATCTTTGTCCATGCTGCGAATGTAGGTCTGTGGGACACCATGATAGAGAGTGACCCCTAGGCAGCCAGTGACTCCACAGGCTACATAGATTCCCAAACTGATTGGGCCTGCCCCCCTTTCAGGAAGAAAGGAAAAACATATTCAGTGCTGCTCTATGATTACAAACTTTATACTCTACCCCATAATCTAGGGTAAAGGGTAGGTAGCAGCTTTTGCCCTGCTCCCCTCACCCTCCACCCCAACAGGATCATTCCAACACCTCCCAAAGTGTGGTAGCACCCACTTCAGAAAATACTGGGCTAGAGAGTGACCTCATCAAAGGCCTATCATGCCCGAGACTAAACCTGGGAGAGAAGTAGAAACTCCTCCCCGCCAAGTGATTGATTGTCCAGCCCAAAGCCAGCAGAAGGCACCATGAGGGTGGCCTGAGGTGACAGAACTCCAGCTTTGGACTCTGAAGAACACATTTGGTCACCAGGTGATGCTCTCTAGGACAAAGATCTGAAGGGCACCTGTCTGGCTGGGAGCTGCCCATGTCCCATACCTGGAACTCCCGAAGGACAGTTGGGATGTTGGTCTCATTGGCTAGGTTGGTCAGCACTTCCAGCTGTGGGGAGGGGTGGAGAAGACAGGAAATGAGCAAGGTGGTCATTTCTGCACTTTCATAACCTTTCATTCCCCCCACCTCCCAAATAAAAATCACAAACCAGAAAAAAAAAATATCCTAGGACTGTCTGCTTCATCCTTGGATTGATGAGGGAACTAACAGAGATCATGAAACTTGTCCAAAATGCAAGAGGGCCAGTCTGCCTCTTGATCTGATCCCCGGATAGAGTACGTCTGTAGTATGATTGGTCATTAATGTTCTCTATTGCTTTTAGGATAAAGACCAACATTCCTGCAATAAGTCAAACCCTGAATGGCCTGAACACCGTCCACCTCTCCAGCTACATCGCTCACTGCTCTCCTCCTCACCTGATATGGTCCAGGCACACAGCCTTTTGTCAGATCCATCCTGCCCAGGACCTTTGCATATGCCGCTCCCTCCACTTGGAGTTCTTCCCACTCCTCTCTCTGTATCTTCCTAGATAACTCATGCTCATTTCTCAGGGCTCAGCTCACCTGACGTCCCACCCCTAGACTAGATTATGTTCTCTATCTGATGCTTTCTTTTAATCTCTGCACTTTCTTTTCTGTCATATTTCCCACTCAAAACTTATCTATGAGACCAAAAGACAATGCCTTGATCTACAAAATGTGCTGGGGGGAAAATATCTGCCCATTAAGAATTATTGATCATCAAAACATCTTTTCAAAAGGAGGATGATTCAAAATATTCCCAGATAAAACTGTGGGAATGCATTACTAGCAGACCTGCTTTGCAAGAACCATCAAAAGGCATCTTTCTGGTGAAAAGAACAGAACCCTATACAGCTATCCTATCCAGTCTATAAAGATGAAAACTAAAATATAAAGAGATCTCTCCAATAAAAGTAGTAATGTAGGAA